GATTCTTGTTTGTAAGAATGTATACAAAGATGTTTGTCTTTTGAAAAATGTTTCAATATTTTGAAAGTTGTTTGGAAATGTTTTGAAAGTTGTTTGGAAATGTTTTGAAAGTTGTTTGGAAATGTTTTGAAATGTGTGTGTGTTTGTTTGAAAGTAGCAAGGATTATATGCAAATTGATCAAGTAACTAGAAGCTTATCTACCTACTCAAAAGTCTTTCTTGTACATTTTTATTCCTTTAACATTGTTGATTTACCATTGTCTTGGTAGACAACCCTATCTTTGGATGTTTAAACGGGACGGGCGTGGGTCATCGTACGAACATGATAGCAATAGTGCCAAGTATCTTTAGCATGTTTTTTAGGGACCAAGATCATTTGTTTAGGCAACCTTTTGATAGCGTCATCGAGGGACTATGATCTTTTTGTTTTGTTTTGTTTTGCTAAGATACCTTGCATGCATACCATGGCCATTTTTTAGGCAACAAAGTGGGTGAAACCCTAGAGGTGTTTGTGTGCAATGTGTTGTCATTTTACATGCATTTTTGTCTTGCATTAGGTCATGCTAATTGTTTGATTTTTTGTCTTATCATACAAAACCCTAGTTTTTACTAAACATGGATATAATGCGATAAATTACGTAAAGTAAATCTAAGCTATTACAACAATATTATGGGAGGGGGGATACAAGTTTTGAATGGGGGATATTGCTCAAAATAAAACCCTAAAAATTATTACAACCCAATTGAATTTTTGCACAATAAATAAATAAACATACAATTATTTAAATATGCAAATAAAATTTATTTATGCAAAATGTCTTTGTATTTATTTTATGTATGATAAAAATAAATTATTTAAGTCCTAAAATAAGAAAAAATAATATTATTAGTTTTGGAAGGGGTGAAAAACCCTAGTTTTTGATTTAAAATAAAATATGTTCAATATCATTTATTTTATCTATTTATGTACAAGAAATAATAAATAATATTATTAATAAATATTAAAAATTAAAATATGTATAAAAATAATATTTTAAATGTATGAATAATAAAAATAAAAATGTATAGTATTTATTTAAATATTTACAAATTATTTTAATAAAATGATTTCCATTTATTAAAATAAAACTATTTTATATATGAAAAAAAAATAAAAAAAATAAAAAAAAATAGCAAAAAAAATAAGAAAATATTTTTGTGATTTTTTAATGTTCAGAAAAAAAATATTAAAGTCACTAAACATAAAAAAAATGAGAAAATATGCCAAATATAAAAATATGCAAAGGGGGGTGCAGATAGGAATATGGGGGGTGTGAAAAACAACAGGCCCAAGGCGCCAGGCCCAGAACACCATCTCCATCCCTGTCCTTGGCTTCGCGCGCGCATCCCATCTACAAACCTGCAACTCTCACATACGTGCACAATAGCAAAAACCCATAACACAAAACATGTAGCTCATGACCTCACGATTCCAGTGATATAAAAAACATAATCTAACTCTCAAGGATCATGGAGAATTTAATCACCCCTAATTTCTTACCTAGATTTTTCATGAACTTCAAGCTTCAAATTCTCACTACTCAGTTAATATAAATAAAAACTATGCATATGTACAACTTAAGCAAGTTAAGGACTACATTTTTGCTTCGAAAATCTAAGCTTAAGGATGCCTAAATAAGGAGATAGAGATTTGAAAAATACCTTGTTCAGCTGAGTTTGGATATGGCAATGTGGGGACTTTGAGTGAGGCCTGAAGGTCGTGTGAGCTTCCTTGAAGTTCCCTCAAGCTTTTCCAATGCTTAGCTGGCCTTGTAGATGCTTGAATCTCCCTGTAGAAGTCAACCTGTAACCTTCCAAAATGAAAATAGTGATGTTTGAAATAGGGGTTACAGTTGCAAGACAAGGGCCTGGATAGTTTAGATAGGATGTATGTAATGTGTTTGAAGTCTTAAAATGAGAAACGCACGAGCCAATATTGATTTGGCAAGGGTTCTGCAGATGATGCCCTGTTTGGGCAAAAAAATGTGATTTTGGTGTTTTAGAGTGTTTGGGATGCTATGGATTCGTGTATTGGCTTGTGACAAGTTTATGAAGATCTTTAGAATGATACCAAGGCTTATTTTTATCAGATGCACAAGCTATCTTGACTTTTGCCAAATTGCTTGCTTTTGAAGAAAGTTGAAAGTGACAATGCCAAAGGCCTGTACAGACTAGTTTGTGGACTGCAGAGGGTTGGTATACTTTGTATGATGTTTGTGGATCTTGCTTGCAACAAAAGATCAGGTCCATGGCTTAAGAAATGTAAAGTTGCAAAAAGGCTTGCTTTATCAAAGTAGTATTGTGAACTTTATGTCATTTTTGGATTAATTCATTGTGCAATGCTTCAAAAGTCAAAACAAAGCCATTATCCATTGAGTTTGCATTTAATTATGGAGTGTAGAAGGGATTAGGACCTGTAATACAAGGTACAAGCATGCTAGGATCTGATTTGCAACTTGAACCATTGTGAAAATGGCTTGAACAAAAATGACAAATTGCCATTTTCTCTTCTTCGATTCTCCCTAACCACAAATGATCTTGAAGAGTTCTTAGACATTTTGGAAAGCTTTCAACATGATCTAAAATCCATATTTGAAATTTATTTTTAGATACCTCTTGGAACTAGGTGAAAAATGCCCATGAAGTTAGGTCAAAATCCTGCCTAAACTAGGGCAAAATTTCACTAAGTTAGGAAGTTTATGGACCCCTATTCACAAAATCATAACTTGCGATCCAAGAATCTTTTGGGAAAACTTTGTGCATCAAAGTTGTAGATTTCATGGAGGACTACAACTTTAATGTTGGAAGTTTTCTTTGAATCCAATTGCATCATGGTGAAAAAGTTGTGGAAAGTTAGGGAAAAAAAAGAAATTTTCCATACTTAGAAAAATTCTAAGTTATGAAAAATTTCAAATTAAAACCCTAATTTGCAATTTTAGGTTTCTTGGTCAACAAGTTTCACATTTTGACATATCTTGATGAATTATGACCCTTGGCACTTGATTTTGACCAAAAAGTCAAAGTTTGACTTTTCAGTGTACAGTTGACTTTTGATCAGTTGACTGCAAAATTCATCTGTCAATCCTATGCATTTGAGATCTTTTGAACTATGATTAGGTCAAGATGATGCTATTGAGTCCTTGAAATCATGCTTGAAACCAATTGGTCATTGGCTAGGTTAAAAATCAGAAATTGCCCTTTCTCAGTCAAAACCCTAATTTTGACCATTTTGCCCTTTTGATGATCTGATCAAATTTCTTGAGGAGTTGTGATCCAAACTTGATCAAATGGTATATAGGAGCCTATAATGTTTTTGTGGATAAAAAATTATGAAGTTTGACTGTAAATTGGCCATGGTTGACTTTTTCCCTAATACAGTTGATTTTTAGGTCAACTGTCCAATTGACTGAGCAAAAATGTGATTCAAGGCTTGAAACTTGGTATGAGAAATCTTAGGGGTATAAGATGGTGTATGAAAGCCACATGAAGCATTGATGGTCCAAAAATCCTTGTGCAAACTCAAACCCTAATTTCAGGCTATCAGTGCAAGGTGAGGTCTTGAGCTGAGCAAACCCTAATCTTGTCTTGAGTCCAAAGAGTCTTGTGAGGAAAATCTTGATAAAATGAGAGGGAAAATTTTAGGGTACAACAATAGGCCTGGTCATTTATAATTAAAAAAATATTAAATATTAAAAATACTTAATATAATATTAAAATTGAACATAAAAGGGGAACATGGCGTGAAAATCTTCGTGTTTAATCGATCTTTAGTGCTCTAGTTCTTCTCCATAAGCTGCTTCAAGTTATGGATTCCGAATCTGTGAAAATATCAAGTTCTTCTTATCATTATAGGAGGATAATTATGCAATGTTATTGTGGTTTGGATTCACCACTTACGACTGTGTTGACACCTTAGAATCTAGAATGGAGGTTCTATGGCTTGGGTTGTTCAAGATACATCTAAAGTTTTAGTTTTTAGTTTGTATTTTTCATCTTCTTACTTCTGACTTTTGAGTAATTTCGTAATTCCACCTTATTTTTTGAATTATTCAATTACAAGAAAGGAAATGGTGTTCATTTTTTAACGGTATGGATGAGCAGGTGCTAGAACGTTTACAAGAAGTGATTAACTTACTTTTGCAGATGGTTAATGATTTGAAGAATAAAAATAGTTTATCAAAGAAGACTTATGATAACTTGAAGAAGAATATCAAGTTCTGATTATTTTTGTGATTTTGTCTTAGGTTTTAATAGTCTTGTTGATCACAAAAAACTTTGTTGGATAATGTAATTTTGTCATTGGACGATGTAATTTTGTCATGGATAATGTAACGACTGTGTTGATGTTAGTGTAATGTATGGGTAATGTAATTTTAATGGAATGAAATTTTAGTCAAATAATTTTGTTGTAATGACCGTGTTAATGTAATGACTGTGTTGAATTTACTAATGTGTTGATAAAAATCACATTTGTTGTAATATTGTAATGATAATGTAATAATAAGTAATGACTACCGTGTTGAATTTACTATGTTGTATACACAAATAAAAGAATGATATATCCAACGTTTTATAAATAATATAGAATATACGACATTTACTTAAATTTACTTGAACTACTAATGTGTTCGGATAAACTATATCCTTAACATTGAATAACCACAAATAACATATAATACACAACATTAAACATAGATCCATAATGTTTGAATAAACTATGTTTGAATATACCAATGTGTTAAATTAACTTGAATGCACAATATTCATTAAACATAGATCTATTACAAAAACTGATAGGTTTAACAAATAACATGTGATCTATTACCAAAAAAATGATAGGTTTCACATTTTACAACATGCTCAATCAACTTGATTCTTGTATTTGTGGAGCTTGTGATCCTTGGATGAGCATAATAGGTGATTCCTTGTTTGATGCTCTCCTTTTTTTCTTAAACTTGTTACTAACTACCTTTCAGCAATTGTCGATCCGCCGATGTTTTCCCTTTGCAAGTTCTTGAGTTATGCCCAAAAGTTCTACAACTCTTACATTTTACAGTTGTTAAACTTCTTGGTAGTATGTTGCTTGAACTTGGTTCATCATTAGCTTTGTTTATTTTCTTCTTAAGTCTATCCAGAGCTCTTCTCATTACCGGTAGATTAATTGATTCCCCATTATATATTTCTTCACTCTCCTCCACATGTACTTCTTTCCTCTTCTTAACATGTAATTCTCCCTCTCTTAAACATGGACTTCATCATCTGAGTCAATCTGAATTGGATATGTACAAGTTCAACATACTTCCTTACTCCATCTTCTATTATAAAAATAAGTTCATCTACTATATGTTCAACATAGATATTAGCGACTTCATAACCATTCATGTCTTCCCCGAATTTCAAAACATATGTATCTTTGTTATGAGGTCCAAGTCCATGCTCAAATGAAAACTTCAGATCATAATGCCACATGGATTTGATTCTTACATAGCTCAATTTGTTAATTACTTTAAAAATATCCATATATGACATAAAATCCACATCAAATTTCCAATTCATTTCTTCCACCTTTCCATTTACATAAATCTTGAAAGGATAATGAACTAAATCCCCCCATAATTAATTCTCAGTCAAACTGCATTTGTATGAGATGACCTATAACAACCCAAAAAAATACAACATATCATCATTGTAACCAACAATTATTCAATTCATTACAAGTGCATTTAACATTTCAAAACAATACATATTCAATTCAGTTCAACTGCATTTAACATTTCAAAAGAACACATACTCAGTTTAGTTTAAATTCATTTAACATTTCAAAACAACACATACTCATTTCAGAGTCAATAATCAATATGTCTAGAACAAAAGTTTGAGTCTTCCTTGGACAAAGACGAAGGTGCACCGTGAGAGTAATACATTTCTGTCAATACAATAGAAGTTTGGGTTTTCGAAGTTCTTAACCAATAGATTCATAAATCACTTGTATTATATGGATTGGTGAAATTAATGTCTTCAAAATTATCTTTATTCCGCGTTAGTCAATGAATCTTCTTCATTCTTTCTTTTCAATTGGGTTCAACCTTTCCTTGTTTCTTCGTCTCCCTTGTGTTCGCCATTTGTGTTCGCCATTTGTGCTCTCTGCATTTCTTTGTCTCTTAATCTTAATTCTTTTAAAAAAGTTGTTTTATTTATTTTAAGTTTATTTAATAAATTAGCAATGTGAAAAAATGACATGACAAAAAACATTTTCTTTTGTCTTGTGTCATGTCATATACAATTTGACATATATATTAAAAAATGACACATAAGCATTTTTGGAGCAAAATTGGAGATTGAGGACAAAAACTATTTAAAAATAAAATATGAAGATTAATTTTATAAATAAAGCAAAATAGGGAGACCAAAACATTTAGCCAAATAAAAAAGTATTAATCACTCTGAACCAATCTTAAAATTAATAAATTGAGCTATATTCTCATATTTTTCATTTAATATTAATTCAATTTTTCCTATGGTTTTAAGTTGATAAAACCTAAAGAATTTATGGAATTCTCATATAAATATAAATTAAAAAAAAAAGAAATTCATGTTATACTTTTTATTTGCATGACAAAATGAATTAATACTAAATGAAAAATATGAAAATGAAAATTAAAGAATATAACTTTATTTATTAGTTTTAGAGATTAAAAGTAATGTATTGAAAGTATTAAATATTATTATTTATTATTCACAAAAAAATTATTATTTAGTTATATCATATCACTAATTTAAAAATATAAGTGGAGTTTAATAAAATGCACGATAGTCATTAGGATATAGCATAAAATTATACGGTACATCTTCTATTTTCTCTAACTTTATTTATAAGTTTCAAATAGATTTAAAAACAAAAACAAAAACTTAGGTAACATTAATTAAAGAAAATTTTATATGTTTAGTTCATTATTTTTACATTTGTGATATTTTCATGTTTAGAAGAAGAAGTTTATAGCATTTTGTAAGACTATAACAGACTGGTTTGATGATCTTTTTGTTGGAAATTTATCAAAATTTATGATGAATTTCAAGAAATTTTGATGAACAAGATTGTTATCACTATACAATGACAATGAAAATAATGAAAGATAGAGAAAGAAATAAGATTATTTTCTGCAGAGTTTCTCTCTGCCCACAAACTGTGGACAATCTTATTCACTTGCAACTGCAAATTCTGTAAATACTCTATATGAGTTGTTACAAAAATAGGGGCTACTCCCTCTATTTATAGTTATGATAGTTTTCTCCCTACGCCAAAGTCCATAAATACAAAAAAAAAACCTAAAATAACTATTTTGACCTAAGTCGAACTACTATACGAAGCAACCTGCTTTGATACTTCGACACACACAACTTGACACACTTGACTAATTTCGACACACCCTTGTTCTGTCGAGCAACATGCTACTTTGAAACAAGGGATTACAATCTTAACAAACCACATAATTCATTGTGTCTAAGCTATCTATATTCAACATATCTCTCAGTCTTCTGAACATTTCGACATGCACTCTATTTGTTATGATGTCTGCAATCTGATTCTCAGTTCTATATTGTTTTAAGTTCATCTTCCCTTCTGTTACTTGCTCTCGAAGATAATGGAACTTCATTTTGACGTGCTTGCTTCGGCCATGTGCTACCGGGTTCTTCGCCAGATTGATAGCTGACATGTGGTCGACCTTCATGGTAATTGCTACATCATTCTTCCATGTAATCTCTTCGACCAGATTCACCATCCATGTTGCTTGACATGCACAAAGAAAAGCAATTATGTATGCTGCTTCATAGAACGATATTGTCAATATTGGTTCTTTTCTCAAACTCCAAGCAACTAGTGCACCACCTAGCATAAACACATAGTCTGTTGTGGATTTTTTATCCTCAGCATCACTACACCAACTTGAGTTGGTGTATCCCACTAACTTGCATTCTTTTCCTTTATTAGTTGCTATAAACAGAATGCCATAGTCGATGGTTCCTTTTAGATACCTTAGTATCCTCTTCATCGTTGCTAGATGTGATATCTTTGGCTTCTGCATGAATCTACTTACCATAAACACAATGTATGCTAGATCAGGCCTTGTGTGACAAAGGTACCTTAATGACCCAATAAGTCTTCTATATTGGTTTAGGTCGACATCATCTTTTATTTGAGTCTTTCGACAATTGCAGTCTTGGTTCAGCAGGTGTCGAAGTCGAGTTGCAGTCTTCCATCTCAAATCTCTTAAGAATTTCACTTGTATATCTACTTTGGTGCATCATCAAACCTCTACTACTCTTGTAGAATTTGATACCAAGTAAATATGAAATGTCACCCAGATCAGACATTTCGAATTCCTTGATGAGATCACCTTTGAAGTCTCCGATCTTTTTCTTGCAGCTATCTGTTATTAACAAGTCATTAACATAGAGGCATAGTATAAATAATTCACTATTGCTTCTTCGTACATATAATACATGCTCAATTATGCACTTTATCAATTCCTTCTTCCTTAGAGAACTATCTATCTTCTTATTCCAAGCTCTTGGAGCTTGTTTGATTCCATACAGGGCTTTATGCAACATGTACACCTTTCTTTCTTCGCCATGTTTCACAAATGCAACTGGTTGTGCAACATAAACTTCTTCGTCTAAGGGTCCATTTAAGAATTCACATTTCACGTCCATCTGACATATGTGCCAACTATTCATTTCTGCTAGACCAACAACCAACATGATTATTTCAATCCTAGCAACAGGTTCAAAGACTTCGTCAAAGTCGACTCATTCTTTTTGAAGAAATCCTTTTGCCACAGGTCTTTCCTTATGTAGAGTTACTACCCCTTTGGGATTCAACTTCACCTTGTATACCCACTTCACATCAATTCTTTCTCTCCTTGAGGCAATTCGATAAGTGACCAGGTTTTGTTGACTTCGATGAACTTCAATTCCTCATTCATAGCTTTCACCCACTTCAAATTTATCAATGCCTCAGCTGCATTGACTGGTTTGACATCTGTATAGAAAGCATAATGTACCAGTTCACCTTCATTATCGACTGCTTCATCTGATGTGATCACACATTCTTGCAACCTTGCAGGCATGTGTCTTGTTCTTTGAGGTCTGCTTGGGCCTGCATCTCCTTTCACCTCTTCTTGGCGAACTTCTTCTCTTTCAACTTCAATGGATGGTTCTTCACAAAAAAATTCTTACTGAATCCTTCTTGACATTTTCAGTCCAATCCCATTCCTTAAACTCATCTTTGATCACATCTCTATTGATCACTACTTTCTTGTTCACTGGGTCGAACAACTTGTATCCTTCAATCAAATGATATCTTATTAGGATCATCTGACTCGACTTGTCATTAATTTTTCTTCTCAAATGATCTGGCACATGTGTATGTGATATAGATCTAAACACTTTCAGATGACTCAAGCTAGGCTTCACACCAGACTAATATTCTTTTGATGTAATTCCTTCTAGCTTCTTCGTCAGACATTTGATCACCCTAAAACTCTTTAGGTAAATGCTTTCCTTTCAACATACTTCTCACCATATTCATGATGGTTTGATTCTTCCTTTCTGCAATTCCATTATGCTAAGGAGTGTAGGGTGGCATTGTCTTATTCATAATCCCTTCTTTCTCACATAACATGTAAAAGTATTTCGACACATATTCTCCACCACCATCAGTCCTCAAAATCTTGAGCTTTCGACCACTTTGTCTTTCAACCATAGACTTAAACTTGGAAAATACTTGGATCACTTCACTTTTCTTCTTGATGAAGTATGTCCACAGCTTTCTATTGAAATCATCTATGAATGTGACAAAATAACTATTACCTCCAGTCGAATCCACCTAGATAGAAATACATACATAAGAGTATATGATTTCAAGAATATCCTTCGACTTGCTTCCTGCATCCTTGTTGAAGTTATTCTTATGCTGCTTCGCCTGCTCACATTCCTCACACACCTCGTTTGGAATGTCGATTTCTGGAAATCCTAAAACCATATTTATTCTTTTCAAATCTATGATGTCTTTGAAGTTGATATGGCCTAGTCGATAATGCTGTATCCATTCATCTCTACTAGCTGCAGTTGCAAGGCACTTGTGCTCCATCATATTAAGTTCAATCTTGAAGATTCTATTCTGAGACATATCATCCTTCAAGATTAACCTTCCTCTTTCATCGACAACTCTCATCATCTTGTCTCTAATCAACATTTTATAATTCTTTTCGACCAACTTCCATATATTGAGAAAATTGCTCTTCATGCCTGGTATGTACAACACATTGGAAATTACTAACCTCTTGCAATTTTTTCTCATAATCAGAATATCATCAATACCTTCAGCTGCTAGAGTATGGTCATTTGCAAATTTCAACATGTTCTTCATTGAGGGATTTATGTTGATAAACCAATCTTTCCTTCCAGAC